TGAGCAGGGGGTTGGACTAGATGACCTCCAAGGTCCCTTCCAACCTTATTATTATAAAATGAATATTCTCTCTATCCACATGTTGCTTAAAATAAAACAATTCTTCTGTCTGGTTTATAAGTAAAGGCAGAAACCAAGTAAGCATAGTTCTCTCATCAAGCTTCCTTATTCTTAGAGATTCAGTCTTAAATTTATCTGCAGAATGATGGTGAGCTGGAGCTGAAAGAATGATCATCATTTTCCAGTAGCTACTTATATCATAATGTTCATCACAGGATTATATCTGTGATATAGAGTTACCCTGTGGTAAGATGGGTGGCCAATAATTTTTATAAACAAACAAATATCTGACTACTTAACTGTTACTAATAATTGACTGAATAAAAATATTGCTAAATATCTCCTCTAACAGGATTGTAATTTTAGCAGTCTTGTCTTCATCTTATTCTTAGTTGAATAACCTAGACCAGGGGTGTCAAACTGCTGGCCCACGGGCTGGTTGCATCATACGGAGGCTGTGCCCACCCCAGCTCCGGCAATGCAAAAAAGTCACAATACGCACGACACATCACGTGACATGGTGAGTTTGACATCTGTGACCTAGACTCAATCTGAAATAGGGTTCAAGATCTTCAAATATTCTAACAGCACTTGACAGATATATTTCTGTGTATATTATGGCAGAAAAAATTGGAGGAAGCTTATAATGTATCAGAAGTTCAGAAATAAAGAATTTAATCAGAATCTAAGAGGTAAAGAGGTCAACTTCACACAAGATATTAAAAGTATATGTCTGTTTCTGTTACTTAAATGCCATCCACTATCTGGATGTCCAAAGGTAAATTAAAATGTGTTTTGCGAATCATTGTAAGAGTACTGTCTAGATTAGATGATCAATGCTGTGGTCCTCTAACACAGACATGTCAAACACAAGGTCCGGGGGCTGGATGCGGCCCGCGAAGTGGTTTCATGTGGCCCGCGAATTCATCCTGGAAACAGTGAGGAAATGGCCCCCGCTGCCTTGGCCCTGGCCCAGGGCAGCTGGGAGCCAATGTACAATTTTGTGGTGGCCATCTATGCTGAAATGCATTCAGTCTTAGCTCCACAAGGCTGTCTGGAAACAGCGAGGAACCAGCCCCTGCCATGTTGGCCCCGCCCCCTGGGTGCATGCTGGGTAGGTGTCACCCTTTGTGAGGAATGAAGAAATGCATCATCACCTGGAAGTGGCCCTGGTCCCACCCCCTTCTGCCAGAGACCCTCAGATCTGTCCCACTCCTGCCCAGGCCCCCACAGGCACCATTGACGCGAACAATGTAGAGCTGGCCACTCCTACCCAGTAGGTCACACCCACTCCATCCATGCCCACTTAGTAGGCTGCACCTATCCTGGCCACACCCACCAAGCTCTCCCGAGGGCAACCGCAATGCTGATGCGGCCCTCAATGAAATTGAGTTTGACACCCCTGCGCTACCAGATAAAGTTTCTCAGATCTGCTCCAAGTTTACTGTGACTGGGCAGGTCAGATGGATGTTCTTTTGCAGAATTTCATCTGGTAAACTAGTTTTGCCCTCTTTTGGATTAGGAAACCCTAGGAAGGAGAGCCTTCACTTATGTTCTAATCACTTCATAGCTCCATTACTGTAAATTACTTTATGTATATGGGGCTCCCTTTGAAAATTATTGAGAATTTTCAACTGGTCCAGAATGCAGCTATAGACATGCCTCAGTATGCATATGCGACAATCCTGCTCTGCATGCAGTGCTTATAGATCACTTGCCCTTCAAATTGACATTAACATGTTGCTTTGTATTAATCAGAGTGTCTTTATGGTATAGATAAGCAAACGTTTCCTAATAGACTGGTCCTAGTCAGCAGAGCACATTGACATGGCTGGGTTAACCTCCCTTGTTTTATAACACTGAAAATATAGACTTAGGTTTGTTTTGATTCAAACCTTTTGTCAATATCTCTCTCCATTTAGTAAAGTGGGTATTCCATATGTATGGATGACAAATACTCAAGGATATGTAGAAATGCTAGATGTTCACTTCTTGATTCCCAATCACTAAAGTATATGTATACACACAGACATACATACATACACACACACAGACATACATACACACACAAAAACATATATACAGTAGCAGGGATGAACATGCAGCTTTCCCTCCGAAACAAACAGAGGCACTAGAAAGAAGAATGAAATGTCTGCTGGATAATTTTCAACAATTAGGATTGTTAATTTGATTTTAAAAAAAAGATGAATTGTTTTGCAATAATGCAGAAAAATCAGGCTTCTCAAAGTTAAATTCCCCATACTTTCCTTCAAACAATGCAAACCATTTGCTACAAAAATGAAACTGTTTCTAGATAGCTGCTGGAAACCAGAATGCATTATTGGGTGGAGAGGGCAGGGAAGAGACCTGCCTGGTAGAAGTTCAATATATCATTTTATTAATGGTTTTCACTTGAATTGTAATCTACTATGACCATTATCCTACTACAATCACTATCTTTTAAAAACTGCACTAAAAAGCATGTTATTTTGAAATTAAAACAATGCACACATGCAGACTACGTCGCTAATACAACACTCTGAGTGAAACCATTAAAGAATAAAGGAATGATAATATTCCCATAATGTTAACTATAAGATATTCCTTTTTGCTAGCTGATTAGTGAAACTTCCACGACTAACTGAATACTGGCACACTGAATGAACAGTTAAAACAAGAAACTGCATATAGTTCTGCAGCGTCAATGCTATAATATCTGTAGCAGTTCTGTAACTTGGATAGGTTGCCTCTCCTTAAGAACAAAACAAAATGGGAGAAACAATTCTGTTGTAGCACACTGGAACATACTGTAAGAGAATGGTGCAGGCAAATAATTTAAACTATTTCTGAATAGATGTTAAACTAATGAGAATTGCTGGATACAGCAATCCAGTTATTATTTCTCAGAACTGTAACATATCGGTCAAAGTTGTGTTAATATTATTTTTGTTTTATTTGTTTCTTTACAAAATTATTCAGTGCCATCTATTTTCTGCTCTTTGCTCTTCTCATGCTGAAATTTTAAAAATGTCTCGGTGCACATACAGTAAGAGGAACCTTACTTTTTCATATTCCATATGGTAATATGTGGTTAATTACTTAGTTGAAAACAGTAATAAGATGCTTGATTTGTTTTTCACGATGAAAGTGTTTTGTCATTGTTGTTTATTCAGAGGATTTAGTATTCATTTGTAGGTCTCCCAAGTTCAGCGGCAGGAAACCTATCCCAGGATTTTTTTAAAAGCCATTACTCTTGCCATCCCTCAACACTGTTTATACTTGGAACCAGCAAACAAGCAATTAAAACACGTCACACAAGAATTGTGTTATGACATTTTAAGATCAAAAAGGATACTGCTGAATTCGCTTCCATCTGTGCCAGTATAAACATTTTTTATGGCTCACCAGTGATTATTACGGATCAAAGATAAAGTGGGAGGGCAAAGGGGTAAGTTCCAATCAAGACAACTGTGATGGTAACAAAGCTTGGAACAGAATCATAGTTGTGCAGAAACATCAATATCTTGACGAAATATGCAGTAAAAGAAATATTTTTGAAAAGTGGTTGCTACAATCACGTTCCTAAAACACATACTTCAAAAATGTCCAATATAGAAAAAAAAATCTTGGTTTTCCACTTTGCTCTGCAGACTTCAGCTCCAAACAACCCTGCCTCTCCATTTAATGCTTTTCATGTACTGCAACAGGTTTATAAAAATTCTACCTAGATTATGACTTATGAATTGCTGGTTCTGCAATTTTTCTTGGTGCAAAGTTTCTTAACAGTGACAAGAAAACACACACAGACACACACAGACACAGACACACACGCTACAGGTTAGCAGAGTGTCATTTGTTTCATGTCTATAGTGCTTTTCAAACGTTATCTAATGAATCCTCATAGCAATCCTTTGAGGTATTACTACATGTATGTAAGAAAACTTGCCCAGGGCCACAAAACTTCACTAGTACATTCAGAATTAGACTGCAGAGGTTTCCATTCTCAGCTCCTAAATGTAAGGCCACACCTCTTTTTCATATGCAGCATACACACTACTGCAATCACACACACAGAGGACTTCTTTCTTTGCAGCTGCAATTGTCTGAAGGTTAAACAAGTAGGGCAGTAGAACACTAACAGACACTTCCCAAAATTCCAGCCAGAAGTAGATTAAGAGATTTCATAGAGAAAACACCCGCATTACAACTAGTAAAATAACAACAACAAAAACATCTAGCCTGGACCTGTTACAGACTTAAAAAGAGTCTTCGGGGGTGTTCCATTATATGCTGTCTTGTTTCCAAAGGAACTTTTAAATTATAAAACCAAGATATATAACAATCTATTCAGTGCCCATTATCAGGATTTTAACTGGCCACAACATTTTGCAGTTATTCTTTGGGCAACTGGTACCATAATCGAGATCAAATGTTTTTTCAAAGCAAAATGTGAAGCAAGAGATGTTTTAGGCTATTATGTGTTCATGAGCACACACATTTTTCTGTAATTAACAATCAGAGCCTAAAATAAAGAACAATTTCTCCCTCTACAAGTAATAGCAGTTTTATAAGACATTTTTTGAATTATGCTTGCAGTATAACAGTAAACAGAAGACTATCTCTAATCCTTACCTTTTTTAACTAGAATGAACACTTTCCTCAACCTTCTTTTAAACCAAGTGACACATGCTGAATCATTACCAACCCATTAATTAAGGTGCTATCAAATAAAAAGGGTAGTACACAGCAAACAGGGCAGACTAAAGGCAAAGTGGGTAACAGAATAACCCATTATATAATCTTTGCTGACAGAATATGACTAGCCATGGTTAGATATTAAGTGTAATACCAATGATTCAACTCATTCTAGTTGATGATACAGAACATCATGCTTCCCATCCCAAAGCTAAGAACTAGTGATTAGCTTATGACATGCTTACCTTGTTTCCGCCTTCTACTGGATGTCCTCCTGCTTGTGGAAGCTAATGCTGGCATATGCACTTAATTCATCACTCAAGTGGTTACTCCCACAAGGCTGCTTTGGAGATTTAGGTGGCTGATGCTGCTGGGATGGTTGTTTGACTCCTAGCAGACCAGTACTCTCCTGAGGGTGGAGATTGCGATGGTGATGTTGGCTGTGGTTAAAATCCTTCACTAAGTCCAGGTCAATGTAATTAAGCCCATTCTCAAAGCCTCCCCCAGTTCCACTAGCTCCTTGCTCCCTCCATGATGCCGTGCCAAGACCCAAAGAAACAACTCCCAGTGCCCCAGATGCAGGTTTGAGCCAGACGTTTTCAAAGGAGGCTGAACTGTGACGTTTTGGATCATCAGGTCCTCCTGGTCCATGGAGTAGAGCCGAAGCTCCAAGACTACTACTAGGAGTGACAGAAGAAGCAAACGTCTCAGAACTATGGCGCCGCCGACCTCCTTGGGGGTCAGCACGTATCACTTTGGCACTCTGGGTGCTGCGACTGGGAGCAAGACTGACATGTGTAAAGGCGCTGTTCGCTCCTGGGCCCCCAATCATAGACGAGGAGCAGGAATGGGGTAAAATCTCAGCCAGTTTGCTTGGCTGAGCCTGAGAAGGTGGCGAAGGCAGCTGCATGGGTGGTGGGCTTTTCTCAGAATAACTCAGCAGGAGGGCTGGGGAAGAAGGTGATGGAGAGTGGGCACAGACTACATACTGTGCTCCACCACCCAGTTGCATGCTCATATAGTCCCGGTTGCTGCTGTGGGTGGTCCCACTCCGGCTTGACTGCATGGAGGCCAAGCTGACTGGGCAAGCAGTTCCCCAATCCATATTGATATACTCCTCTGAACAGGAGCCAGTCTCTACATAGGATAAAGGTGAGGGGAAGACTGGTTGCTTAAACTCAATGTTCACATACTCTCCAGGGCTCTTGGGCTCTGGGAGCTGTTCCCGAGTGCGAGGCAAGGTGCTGGCCTTTGGGCCATCCAGGGATAAACGAGTAGGTCTGGCCAGATGATTCTTGGTCCGCACAGCTGTGTCCACAGTACAAGCAGCAGGCTGTAATGGCTGTGTTTTAATGGGAAGAGAATACCCACCACTCTCCTGTCCCCCAGGGCAGCCAAGGCTATCACTACTAGTAGAGGAAGAAGAATCCTCAGCAGCAGCATAAAGCAAGCGGCCAGAGCTGAAGGACATATGCATCTGGGCATTTTCTTCTTTGCCGGTCTTGCGTTGGTTGTGCTTGAAGGAACGTGGCAAGGAGAAATAGGAATAGATGGGCTTATTTTGGGACTGGGTAGAACCATGCACTAGTGGTTCTTCTGGGCCTGGAGGTCCTGGGCTGGTAAAATAACAGTCTGGAGGGGTGCTGGTAGCAGAACCACTGGCTGGAGACATATTAATATAATCACTGCCTCCACTTGGCAGCTTGCCCTCATTACTCTCTACTGAGAGTTTTGTATGATTATTAGTCCCATTTATCCATAGCTTGCTGTAGCCAGTGGGACCACTGTCTGGAGAACAGCTGCCACTGGGAGACATCATCATGTAGCCATTTGAGTCCACTGTGGCCTGCACATGGCGACCTCCTCTCCCAGGATTGATGATCTGTTGTGGAGCAGACACACTCTTGGGGCTCATTGGCATGTAATCTCCACCTTTGGGTGTACTACCTCCACTGGGCATAGGTGCCACTCCTGGCAACATAGGCATGTAGCCATCATCAGAGTTGGTCCGGTGGTGGTTTCCCTCCACCTGGTGCATCTTTAGACACTCCTCAGGGTAAGACTGGGTTGGCACAAAGGCAGAATGTCGATAAGAAGAAAATTTGTTGCCACTACAGGAATACGAAGGAAGCATCTCAGTATACTCTTCAATGGAGGTCACTGAGGACTGTGAAGGAGTCTTCTGATGGGAGATGGTAGGAGAGGTTCCAGCAGAATGAGTCCGCTTTCTGAAGCCTTTTTCCAAATCTCCTACATCCTCATTTCCAAGCCGGAGGCAACATGGGACAGCAGGGTAGCGACTTTGCTGCTGCAGATGGCAGGTGCGGGGGGCAAAATGACCATTAGGAGTTGTGATACTGCAGCAGGATGAGGCAGCCTTCCCCCCCATACATATATAGTTACTAAGCTCCTCATCTGCCCGAGCAGGAGGGGTGTGTCCCAGGGAATCAGGGGTAACACTGCGAAATGAGCTGCGGAAGTCACAGGGGCTTGATTCATATTCATCAGAGGAGATGAAACCTCCATCACTGGGAGAGCCAGAGACTGATGCACTGGATCGACGTGGGAAAAGACAGTCTGAAGTGGACCCATGGCCACTGGTACTGCTGGATGACAGGCTGACTGGACTAGTGGCAGAAGGGGAACAGCGTGAGGAAGGCATTGGGATGGAGCGACTATGGTTGAGAGGAGGATGAAGCCTGGAGCTGCCACGGTGCCTATGTGAGTGGGTTCGGTTGGCACTTGGACTCATCGGACTTCCATCCACTGAAGCTGGTCTAGACATGGTACCTTCTCCATCGCTAGAGGCTCTGACACGGAAAGAGCTGGGTCTGCCTCCAATCCCTCCTCCCACACCACTGCCAGCAGGAGAAGTGGCAGTTATGCTTTCAGTCCTGGACCTACGAGTAAGTCCCACCTGGCTGGGGGGTGGGTTGTTGACATGATGTCTGCTGCGGAGAGGCACAGATATGGGATTGGAGCAATTGGAAGACGACTGGCTTTTGCTACGAGGCCGAAATTCCTCACTCATTGCCCGCATAGCCTCCAAGATGGTCTCATGCATGTTCTGTGCTACTACTGAGTCATCTACTTGCATCCAAAACTCACCTGGTCCCGTGACAGCAGAGCGCCCCACCTCAATGAAAAAAAAATTCTCCGAATGGCCACACCGCCGGATGTTGAGCAGCTGCAACACAACAGCTGCCGCATCAGAATTTAGCTTGACAAAACTGATGGTCTTGTTGGTTAGGCACAGGCGGTAGATTCCAATCAGGTTCTTAGTTTGGCCCAGCCCCTTTGGTTTCAGGATCACTTGCCAGACCTCTTTGAATGCTGGGCCAGGAGCTGTATCACCATAGCTATCCTCCCCTGCCTCTCCCATTCCCAAAGTCCCACCTCCCACCGTGACATCTCGGTGGTGGTGGTGGTGGTGATGGTGGTGGTGCTGGTGGTGGTGGTGGTGATGGCTCTTGGCACGGTTGTGCAACTGCAGCAGCGCCTGATACCAGCTTTCTTGCTCAAGCTCATTGTCAGCAGCAATGGCAAAGTGTTCGTCCTTGGTGTAGAGAGCCACCAGATGCTTATTTTTGGAATCTGCCCTCTTGTTTATGTTGAAGCAACTCTCCAGAGGAATAGAGCGCTTGGGGGCCCCTGATTTGTGTCTCCATTTCTTTTCGTTCTCATAGTACTCCAGCCGGGCGGGTCCCAACTCACTGGCTGCTCTCAGCACGAAGAAGCGCTTATGCATGCTCTTGGGTTTGCGCAAGTAACCCACCTTCCTGACATCTGAGAAGAAACCCTCATTATTATCGGTGGGGCTAGCCATGCTGGGGGAAAAAAAAAAAGACAAGGTACAGCAGTTCCTCCTGCAAACAGCAGTTCCTCCTGCAAACAACAAAACAGAAATCCACACGGCAGCAAATCCCCTCCTTCACTGCAAAATAAAAATAAAAACGACGCAGAAAGATAGTTCTGGAAATCCTTTCCAAAAACAGAGGGGCGGAGGAAAGAGTGGCAGGGAGAGAACAGCTGTTCAGTGGCCAGAGCCTCCTCCCAGCTCCAGGAGCAGGGCTTGGGTGGCAGTTTTATTCCCAAATCACCCTCCGCAGGAGAAATGCAGCTTTCAAAAGTCTAGTTTCGATGTCGCCCCAGGAGAAACTGGTCCGAGAAGCCGCCGAGGAGACAAGAAAAGCGGGCATCGTTTCATCCATGCGGGGTGGAAATTCCTCCAGCGCCAGAAGCAGGATGGGGTTCCCCCCGTTCTCTTCTCCCAAATAGCCCCTTTCCTTTCTCAAGTTGTCCCTCAGAGAGATTTTCAGGAGCCGATTAAATATATACTCACCAGAAGGAGAGAGACACGGGGCAGGGCAGAGAAGAGAGCTTGTTTTGCAAGAGAGAGAGAGAGAGAGAAAAAAAAACGTGGGACGCCTGAGGGACACCAGCAATCCCTTCGAAATAATAACAACGGTAATGGTAATATAATAATGGTAGTAAGGAGAAACCAGCTAGTCAACACCAGGTAAGCCACCGGGTTTTCTTCCTCGCCCAAAATGCCAAATAAAAATATCCTTCGCGGGAACCGCGGCGGCGGGGTGGAGAACTCCAACAAGCAAACAAACACATCAATATCCCCAAATCAGCGTCGCGATTGCAGGCGCTTCTTGTCCAGCCCGTGCAGGAGAAGAGAGCGAGTGACGACCTCGTTCAGTCCCCTGTCTGGTTAGGCAGAAAAAGTGTCATTTCCACACCAAAGACACGCAGGCGGCTGCAGGGTCGAGAGCAAAGCAGACGGAGTAGAGAAGCTGCCCGAGGAGCGGAGGAGGCGGAGGCACATTTTCGCGGTGGCGACAGCGACTTCCACCTCCTCCTCCTTTTCTTCATTCCAGTCGGAGAAGTCTCGGAAGGCAATATCGGCGGCAGCTCGGTCCCTCCGTCCTGCACCACCACCTCCTCCTCCTCGTGCGCTCCACCACGGAGGCGGCAAAAGGCGCTGCCAGGTAGGAACGGGCGCCGCGACCGCCGGACTTGGCGCTTGCGCTCCTTTGACCGTGGACGGCGAGGGCTCCTGCCGCAGGAGTTGCAGCTCCGCAGACTTTTATTGAAAAGCCCCAAACCAAAACAATCGGCTGCGTCTGCGTTTATGAGGCCAGCCCCCTCCAGCCGCCGACACTCCGTCTCATTCCGAGGAGAAAAACACGTGACGGCGCCAATGCATGGACCATCCCCATCTCCAGCCTCGGCGGCGGCGGCGGCGGCGGCGGCGGCAGCAATAATACAAGCGCGAGAAGGGCTCCCGGCAGCCTAGCTTAGTAGTGCGGCATTCCAATCCGCCCTCGCCTGCCCGCCTGCCGCGGCTTTCATTCAGCACCGCGGCAAACGCGCTTACCTTTGGGCGTCGATCAGTTCGCAGCCCCGAGGGGGTCGTTCTCCGATTGGAGTACCTACCTGTCCTTCAAACCATCTAAAACTGTGGGGAAACCATAGGGGAAGCACCCATGCTTGGTTGAGAAGCACAGAGTGTAGTATTTTTTTTTTATTTTTTTTTTTAGTAGAGAGGAAAAAGAGGGAGGGAGGGAGGAGACGCCATTCAGTCGTGTTATTTACAAACGAATGGATTGCGAATTGCTCGATCGCTCTCTGCCGAGCAGTCGCTGTGATTTAAGCAGAGCTATAGGCCTGCGTTACTCTTTCTCCTGTTTTTGCCTCAGCCTCTTTACCGTGTGCAATATTAATAAATCTTACAAATCTCTTACATGCATTGTTTAAGCCGCTCTTTATCTTGACGAGGAACAGAAGGGTGCACAAAGGGCTTGGACAAGCTTACCATGCCAAAATAAAATAGAGCAATATAGTACCCTTTAAAAACAAACCGGGTAAGCAATGAGGAAACGACAAGAAAATCCATAATCCACAACTGTCCAATCATTTTATTAGGATCGATTACCTGCTAATAGAATAACAAGCTTTCAAGTTCCAGCATACCTTTCAAGTTCCAGAATACAGCAGAAGTAATACAATTACATACTGAGTAAAACAAAAGATTATCCAGCAGACGGTTTAAATATTTTACTGTCTGCTGGATATTTAAGCAAATCACCACCAACATAGATAGCAATCTGTAAATTAAAGCATTTTTCACAAGCCTTCGTCAATTTTAGCTTTTACTACTTATTTATTTCCAGCAGTAGAAAAGACAGAGTTCATAATGTATTGAAGTCTGTAAGTCTTCCCTGGGTGGAAATAAATTTCACAGGTCTCATTTCCAAATAAATGTGTTTAGGATTAGGCTGGTTCTTTCAAGAGACAGGACCAGAAAAGATGTCCCTAACAAGGTAAACAGAATTATGATTGTTAAAATATCAATTTCAAGAGAAAAAAAGCAAATATCTTCATTTTGGATCAAAAGTGAACCAAAACAGTAGCAAATGACAAATGAATCAATAAAGTGCTTTATTTTCCTTCCACAGACTAGAATATTTCTAAATAAATAAATAATAAACTTACCTTTTAAAGTTATTGCCAGATGCCATTTTTAATCAACTTATAAAAAATTATTAGATATCCAGATGATGACTTTCCATTTGTAGGTTTTTTGTAACATTTCCCTTCTTTTCCCATATTTTTTCTTTCCAGAAACATTCAGTTACAGGAAGAACAATGTTTCACAATGTCTTTTTATTGTTACTGCTGGGAAACAACTGTTTGGAAGCACTTTAAATACAATGTGTTCCTGTTGTTCAGTTATGTCTGACTTTGTGATCGATATGTAACATTTTGCAAGAATTGTGTCACTAACTGTTTGAGTTTTTGTTGCAGGTTCATGCTTCTGCTATTAGTGAGATTATTTAGTACTATCTATGTAGATATTTCACACTATTTAGTAATGTCACTTTTAATACTGGTTAAAATGGATCAAATAATCACGGAGGACAGGTCTGTTAACATGCTATTTTTAGATAAATAAAATTTCAATGTTCAGAAGCAGTGTCCAACTCAGCTCTCTACAATCTAGAGTTCTCTCTGTGAGATGAAACTACATTTTGCTAAAAACCCAACGGCTAGGCTAGCTATGAGTTCTGGGAACTGTGGTTTGAGAAAGAACCAGGTTCAAGAAAGCTATGCCAGGAACATTAGGACAGCATTGATTTTTGCCCCAGAGTTTACAAGGTTCTTCTGCAGGTATGCTTGAATAGAACACTTAGTTTTAATCATCATAAATAAAATCAACTATAATAACAACTACAACTTTGGGGATATTTCCCACAGAACAGTTGTTGTAACTGTTGATTTGTTGAGATCAAAGAATATTTCAGTATGTAACCTAGGTTATTTATCTAACTTAAGTAGTATGAGTAGCTTATTTGTGCAGTTTCACCAATTTCACTCTTGACTTTCACTTTTCATATTCATTTCTAATATCGAAAGAAAAATAATAAAGGGGAAGACCAATTTCTTTCTTTCTTTGATACATATGCTCACAAAGGTGTTTTGTAACAAACAGCCTTTACTAATACATTTTTTTCAGATCAGTATATGCTTCAGGAAAATAATATAGGCATCAAATCCTCTCTTCAGTAGATCCTTTCCCATATGGCAAAACACAATTCTTAATTCTGAGTGTTGAATACAGTATTTGCTCTGATGGTTAGAAAAAGTGGGCTGAGGACCAATTAGCAGAGTTTGTTATATTTGCAAGTATTAACATACCATTCACTTCTTTATGAAAGGATTGAAACAAGAATATGTAATATTTATATGTAGTCCATTACTGTTAATTTCATCATTAGTATTTTCATGCCATAGTTTGTTGTAATATCTTTAAAGCTAAATTGTTTCATGTTTCATAGAATGGTGGGGTGATTACCATAAGAATAGCAATAATAATAATTAATAATAGTTTACAAGAAAACATTAACTTGGGATGAAAAATGTTAGGAATTAATCTAGAAGAAAATGATTTGGTTATATATATTTAAAATAATGATACTATGATATTAGAGAGAAAAGTGGTGTGAAAAGTTATTTTTCTTGAGAAATATGTAATAATACCTTTTTCCTCAGTGAAATTACATTATGGAAACATTATTTTTATGGGTTTTTTTTAAATAGACTGAATTAAGAAGTACCAAAAGATTATGTTATTTTAATAATAACTTAAAATATAAAAAACTTTTGCTTTCTGTACATGCATTCCAAAATTTTGTAAATTTCCCCTGTAAATTTCCTCTTCCCCTGAAAGATATAATATAAATTAAATTTAAGATCATAGTAAATAATACAGATAAACTATCACAAACCATAGCACATGTTCTCAAATAGCTTCTCTCAATAGTTTTTGGTGAATAAAATTAGTTCACTGACATGCTTAATATTGAGATCTAATTACCACCTTAACGGCTCACTTTTTTGGTTGTTTTGGAGAAAGTTCCATTTGTGTCAACAGGGATAAATATTGTGCCATTCAGTAATGCAGAAAACATAAGTTCAAGTTAACCTAATCTAATGTATTCTATTACCTTTAAAGGAATTTGATATCAAGAATGTAATCTTTTAAATTGTATTCCATCGTTCCCTCAAAGGCTCAAGATAGTGTTCACAGTTCTTCTTATTCCATATTTATCCCTATAATAATAGGTCTGCGAAGTCCAGTGGACAATGACTGATCTGAAGTTAATCAAAGCTAGGAGTCCTTGTCTTCTTAATTAGCCAATTCTTCATTTACTAGCAGAGCAATCTGGGAATTGTCCAGATATTTCACAGACTTGCGTATTTATATTATACTGTACAAATAGTTTGTTTCTAAACTGAGGTATTAAATTGGGACTG